TGTGTGTATACCCTCTGGCTATTCAACTAGACTGTCAGCTCGTTGAGGGAATGAATGAGACCTTGCTCCTTTTTTTTTTTGTTCTCATGCCTTTTACCACAATATTAATAGCTAACTTTACTAATATTCCAAGCACATTTATAATCTTATTTAATCTTCTTAAGCCTCCAAAACGAGAAAACTGAGGCCTTATAAGGTTAAATCATTCATCTGAGTATTTTGGGGTAAGAAGTGGGAAACCTGAAATTGGTAACTGGTAAATCTTACCACAGAGACACCATTCATTACCACCATTCATTCCTACTTCCCCAAGTTCCCCCCAACAGTGCTAAATACCTTTCCACTGTTGGCTGACTTATAGGAGTGGCTGCTGCTTCCTGCCCTGGGATGAAGCTACTGCAGCCACATTCCTGGCTCAACGCTAATGTTCTGATCTCCCTTGATGCTCAATTCCCTTTTTTAGTTAGGGGCAGGGGCCAAAGTTTGAACCATGTGGCATTGCCACCTGTGGAATACCAAGATTTCTTTTCTTTAATGTTGCTAACCCAACAGCTGTGACTTTTAAGGGTATGGTTATATTATTTCAAAATTGTATCAATATTATACTCAGTAAGTGAATCTACAGCACTATCTCTATCAAAATTATCATGATGAACATGAAAAGAAAAAAAATTTTTTAAGCTTCACAGCAATGGTAGACTTCAAAGACAACATTTGTCCCTCTGTTTCTATAACAGCATGTAGACTGTTACTACCTCATATTGACATATCTCCCTGAGTGGGATTTACATCTGGACCCCTTCCAAGAGAGATGAAACCTCTCTCAGCTGTTCTTAATTAATCACCACACCTGATGTTTAAATGTTGCTTGCACCTTTAAGAAATTATAACATTTAATCTTTTCACAGTAAAAACTTAGTAGAAATGTACCCATAATAAGTTTTCTCCCCCAAATTGATTGAAGAGCTATTAAAGTATGGATTATTAAAAAAAAAAAAACTTGTTATAAAACCTAAAGAAACATAGAAATACTTATTTCATAAAAGTAGTTGTATAAAACTACAAAATGTCTATGTCCTTTCATGCCTTTTTTGCTCTTACAATCTCCCTTCTCTTAAAAAAGGATATATATATAAAATACAGCCTTCCCTAGCCTTTATATAATGGAAGTAGACAAATCTGTTTGTGTGTCACACACACATATATTTTTATATATGATGATTTCATTATGTATGATCATCATATATAATGTTCTACTATGAAAATGTGTACACAACACGCATACATTTTAAATATATATATTATATATATATATGACATTTGAAAATGACTATAAAAGAAAACGAAATTATGGTCAGCAACCATAATCCCCTTGATCAAACTTAACACTGCATATTTTGATGTGTTTTCTTCAAGAATTTTTTACATTAAAGTTGGGCGTTGTGGCTCAAGCCTGTAATCCCAGCACTTTGGGAGGCCAAGGAAGGCAGATCATTTGAGCTCAGGAGTTCTAGGGCAACATGGTGAAACCCTGTCTCTACTAAATATACAAAAAATTAGCCAGGTGTGGTGGTGCACACCTGTAGTCCCAGCTGCTTGGGAGGTTGAGGCATGAGAATCGCTTGAGCCCGAGCGGCAGAGGGAGGATCGGATCATTCAGAACAATCTTGCTGTTCAAGCTGACTGCTCAACAGTGGAATGAAATTCTGACTTTTAAAAAATTTGGGGACACATTTTCATAACATTGTCATATAGTACCTTAGTCCTTGGATTTCCAGTGAAAATTGACAAGGTTAAACAATGAATAAAAGGACTCTATATAGGTACACAGTAATTATTAGTTTTTGGAAGTGAAACTTAAATTTGTTCTAAGTGCTATGGTTTAAAACTCCATTGTGATACAGCACAGACATTTTCTTACTTTTAAGGTGATGCATAAGAAATGCAGAAGGGCCCATTTGCTGGCAGAGCATCCTCCATTCCCACATGTCCCATGTGGTCTCAGCTACTGTAATTGCCACTAATTAGAATTTTGGTAATACATTGAATTAACCTGGATAAGAAGAAGCTTAATAAAATGTGAAGTTTCTTTTACTTTTATGCTCTTATGTGCTGATGTTACATATGCAGCCCCGACTCTTCAGTAAACTCAGCCTCTTATAACACAAAGCAGTGGTTATCACACTTAAGTGCACTTAAGGGTTACTTAGAGATTATGCTTAATCTTGTTAAATAAATATTCTTGGCTCTCACCTCTGAGATTTTAACTCAGGAGGTCTGGAGTAAAGCTCAGCGATCTACATCATTTAAAAACACACCAGGTGATTCTTCTGATGTGGTAGTTCACAGAATACACTTTGGGAGGTGCTGACATAAAGGATTAGCTAGACCTTTCATACTGTGTATTTATTACACAATCCCAAATACACGTTAGCCTATGTCATCATTAATCATCTAGTCTGTCAAAATGTATGCTGTAAGAATGCATAAGAAGCTCAATATCATAAGCCATTTTTTAAAAGAAATGATTGTCTATTATAGATGGTATAGACAAATCTGTGAAACGTATACCTTACCAATATAAAATTGTTCATTGTCTTTTATTCCTGAAAAATACTCTTTTTCTTTTGTAACTCTGGGGAAAAGTTCTTATTTAACAACCAGTGGTTTTCAAAAAGGAAAGATTTTCACAAATTTTTCTATGCACTTCTGTTTTACTAGGTATCTTAGAAGATGCTTTCTAATATCCTTCAGAAAGCCAATAATCTAGAAAGGTATGACACAAAAGTAGCAAATATAAAGATACTTCAGCTCTAGCTCAAAATTTGTGACTTGTGAGAGATCCAATTTAAGTACATAATGTGTTTATTTAATGGAGTTGCTGTACTAGAATATGGAAATTGCTACAGTGTCAAATAGAACCTATGATTTACTTCAAAGCCCCCTTCTGGAACTCATTGATGAATGAGGATGGTAAAGAATACAGAAAAAAAAAAAAGAATGAAATTAAAATAAACTGTATGTCAGCAATACTTAAACTCATCAAAAACACAGTTTCAATTTATAATCTCTACTATTACACAGCTGGCTTTCACATAGCTTTAAGAAACAATTTATTAGCTCAAAGCCACCATTGAAATGATTATACTTCTGACAATCACTGTAATATTTTTACTACTTTTTTTTTGAGACAGCATCTTGCCCTGTCACCTAGGCTGGAGTGCAGTGGTGCAAACAGGGCTCACTGTACCCTCAGTCTCCTGGCCTGAAGAGTTCCTCCCAGCTCAGCCTCCCAAATAGCTGGGTCCACAGGTGCAAACCACCAAACTTAAAAAAAAAATTATAGAGACAGAGTCTCCCTGTGTTGCCCAGGTTGGTCTTAAACTCCTGGGCACAAATGATCCTCCTGCCTCAGCCTCCCAAAGTGCTGGAATTACACATATGAGCCACTGTGCCCAGCATATTTTTACTTCTTATAAGCAAGTATTAAAGAAAGGCACAAAAAAGTTTTACCATAGTGACATAAGCCCACACAAATATGATATCAAGGTCAGCTTTGAAAAATCAAACACCTAAAATTTTGACAATCAAATGTGATATAAAATGCTCAAGATTTCAGAACGAAGTTCTTAAATAAAAATAAAGAATGCAGGAAACAAGTCAATCTTTCTTGTGGCATAATAAGTTTTGACTAAAGGGGCATAAAATCCAAAACAGCAACTAAAAGTGAGTAAGAGGCACAGCAGATGTCTGTGTGGGAAGGAAGCAAAATACAGCTGAAAAGAGGACTCTCTCCCCAGAGTATTCCCAGCTCCATCATCACACAGGTGACCTTGAAAAAGCTACTATAGGGACAGTGGAACTAATCTTATTAAATACAGCAGAAGAGATATTATTTAAAAGTTATTACTTCTACATAGTTCATATAGTTATTACATAGTTCAAGTAAATAAAAATACTTGGTTTGGATATACCTCATTGTAAAAAAACATAATAAATAGATAATGCTTAACATTACAATGTAATCTTTCTTTCCTTCTTATTTTTTTTTTAAGACAGAGTCTCGCTCTGTCACCTAGGCTGGAGTGCAGTGGTGTAATCTTGGCTCACTGCAACCCCACCTCCTAGGCTCAAGTGATCCTCCCACCTCAGCCCCCTAGTAGCTGGAATTACAGACATGTGCCAGCACACCCAGTAACTTTTTTTTTTTTTTTTTTTTTTTGGTAGAGGTGGGGTTTTGCCATGTTTCCCAGGGCGTCTTAAACTCCTGGGCTTAAGTGATCTTCCCACCTCAGCCTCCCAAAGTGCTGGTATTACAAGTGTGAGCCATGGAGCCCAGCCTACATTCACCAAATTTCTTTAAAATGTAACCATTGCATTTTATGTACAACTTGATATAGAGAATAACAATTCAAGAAAATATCTACTACTTTCTACAGTAAATGTGTTTTATACATATATTTTATACCAATGCTATGGTTTGAATATTTGACTCTGCAAACCTCAAGTTGAAATTTGATCCCCAGTATTGGAGGCAGAGCCTAATAAAAGGTGTTTAGATGATGGGGGTGGACCCTCATTAACGGCTTAGTGCCATCCTTGTGATAAGGAGTGAGTTTTTGCCGTATTAGTTCTTGTAAGAGTTCCCCTGATGGCTGGTCATTAACAAGAGCCTGGCACCTCCCCTTGGTTTCTGTACACACCAGCTCTCCTACCCTTTCCTCCATGAGCGGAAGCTTCCTGAAGCCCTCACCAGAAGCAGGTGCTGGTGCCATGCTTCTTGAACAGCTTGCAGAACTGTGATCCAAATAAACCTCTTTTCTTTATAAATTACCCAGCTTCAGGTATTCTTCTGTAGCTACACAAAATAACTATGACAACCAGTAATGTGTGTAATTGCAGTAAGGGTACATTCCTTTTTTGAGCAGAAGGTTATAATTAAAACTTCTTAGTTACCAACGTCTTTACAGTTTTTAGAAGTGTTTTTGTGCTTCCATCACCTTTTCAATGTTGGCAGCCTCTGGTTTCATCTGGGGGCATGTCACCTGCAGTGGGAAAATGCCCATAAATAGATTTGCTACTTTGGGTGATTTCCTAGTCATTAATTCATTCATCTTTTTCCACAAATATTTACTGACTACCTATTAGCTGGTAAGCACTTCAAAGAAAATAGAGCTTATGATATGCAGACTACAACCTAATTGATTCTCCTAAAACAGCCTCTGGTCAATAGCCTTTCACTGGTATATAGTTCAAATTCTAAATCTTGACTTATGAATCTCTTGACAATCTTAGCCTATGCGCCTCATCCAAGTGTTGGGGGTTCCACAAATGTCCAATAGAAATGATATTATAGCCACTTCTTCCCAGTCTTTCTAATGAGTCCAATACTGAGTATGCAAACTTACCGTAATGCTTCAGGACTTAACTTTTCTGGGACCCTCTGAGGCTGAGTTGTCATCCTGAAGTACTCTATAATCCCCTGTGCTTTCTCAGGACATGGGAACACAATATTCAAAGTCCTGCTTTGGCCATCCCTGGATTACACTCCTTCAAGCCAAGGTTGCATGTCCTACTCATCTTGGTAGGCTTGTGCCTGGCTCAATACATGCTTACTGAAGGCACAAGTGTACTTTCTTCCCAACAGGAACCCAGATTGTATTTTGCTTCCAAGATCTGCTTCAGGCTCCACCTTCTCCACTGGCAGGATGGATATTAAAAATATTTAACAACCAGTTCAGCTCAGGCACCAACCACTCCCAATGGACACTGGCCACAGCACTAGACGGGGGTGGTTCTGGAAGCCCCTTGCGAGTTCAGGCATTATTCTTTTGTTTGCTTCTTTAGAGGATGGGAGTAGGCTGGGAAATCCTGACGATGGGGTCCTGCTAGCCTCAGAAGGGGCAGCTTGGTGGGTTCATGGTAACAGCTGCTTAATTAGCCTGTGTGAAAGCAATTCAAGCTGTAAACAACTGGAACAGCTGATCTGCACCATATCAGCTAAATATTAGCTCTGTCCACGAGGTGTTCCCAGAGCACTGAGGCCTGCACTGATCCCCTCCCTCTTGGCCATCCTATAATGGCTCATTTCATCACTCATGTAGCCACTGAATTCTTTACTACCTTTTATAGTTGATTGATTACATGTGGGTAAGCCCTGTTTCTAAAACTAGATTGTAAGTTCCTAGAGAATGAAAGCTATGTCTTCTCTTCTTTCAATCTTTCTTTTTTTTTTTTTTTTTTTTTTTTGAGACAGGGTCTCCCTGTCACCCAAGCTGGAGTGCAGTGGCATGATCAAAATTCATTGCAGCCTCTACCTCCCCAGGCTTGGGTGATCCTCCCACCTTAGCCTCCTGAATAGCTGGGACTGCAGGTGTGCACCACCACACCCAGCTTATTTTTGTATTTTTTGTAGAAACAGGGTCTTGCCACAATGCCCAGGCTTATTTTGAACTCCTGGGCTCCAGTGATCTGCCTGCCTCGGCCTCCCAAAGTGATGGCATTACAGATGCGACCCACCATGCCAGGCCTTTATCTTTAAATAAATCATCTAAAAATTGCATAACCATCTCTACATCATTTTGCATTTTTTGAAATGCTTTACCAGAGTAATTTCCATTATACTTTTGGCTCTTATTAGGGTTAATATCAAAAGTAACCACATTAACAAAATTTCCTTATCTTTTATAAAACTGTTACAGAAGATAATACTATACCATTTAAACTAATTTATATTCTTTTAGAGTTCAAAACTGAAGGAAAGTTTAACTCTTTTGACATACTGATATGCTTCATAGATAAGGAATCATCTCACTCATTCTCTCTCACACACACCCCTCTATTTTTTTATAATCTCCCCAAAATCCTTCAATAAAAACAAAAATACATCCTGAATCTGATTACAATCTCACCTCCATTGTTAACATCCTAATCCAATCCTCCACCCTTATTCACCTCAGGGCTGCAAACCTTGAAACCAGTTAAACTGGTCTCCCTTCTTTTTCTCTTGCTGCCTTCACAACTCATCCTTCACCAAGGAAAGGGAGGGGGAAATGGAGGGAGGAAGAGATGGGGAGAAAGGGAGAGAGATTTTTCTCAAAGCATAAATGAAGTCCTACCATTTCCTGGTCTAGAGCTCTCCAGAGGCTTCCCACTGTGCTTCTAATGAAATCCCAAATCCTTTTCCAAGACTCAATTATGTTTAGAAAGAAATCAAACTTTTGCCAAGGTAGGCCCATGCTTGCCTGTCATACCTCGTTGCCATCCATCCTCTTCTTTGATCACTACATTTCTGTCATGCTAACCATCCTTCTGTGCCTTAAACATGTGCCGAGTACATTCCCCTCTCAGTTAAGCACCATGCTTCCTCATCCCCCCATATATATGCTGAAAGTCTGTCTCCCAATATCACAGCAACTCTGTCTTGTCATCGTTAAATGGCCAGCATTCAAAACTGTACCTAGCTCAGTGAACATTTGCTGATTGACTTACTATCTTTTGAGTCAGCTAGCAGAAAAGTATTGAATTGTTTTCAAAATAAGACCAGAATTCATGTTCATGGTCTAAGGCAATAAGAACATTTATAGAATAATGAAAAAGCTCATATGAAAAACCTGAAATTCTCTACTACAATTGGGAAAAATTGTTAAAAACAAATGAACCAATAAAATAAGAATTTCTGAGAGTAAACTGGTAAAAAGAGAAGGATGTGATAATTTGAAAATCAGCTAGGATAGGTAACCTAAAAAATGTCTATATTAAAGCATCACATTTATGGTTTTGCTCTTGGGACAAAGCAAATTAATTTGTTATGCTAAAGAAACCACAATAGAAATACATGATCTCAATGTAAGAAAAATACAGAGTATACTTAGACCAATATGCAAATTTATAAATGATGTCATCACAAAAATACAAGCCAAAAGAAGACCATAAAACAAAGATACATTTTTTATGCTGTTCTCAATTGCACTTTATCAAAACATGGTCAAGAATCCTTCTCTCTGGAGCCTACTTGGACCCTACAAGGCCTTGCTGACTCGTGGTCAGAGCCACCCTAGGATCCAGGGCAGAGTCTGTAAGGCATCTCCAAGAGCTGCTTCTTTCACAAGTGAACTTGGAATACACCCACCAGTCATCTGCATACATGAACATGGAAAAATAATGAGATGATGCAGTTTTCCCCTCTGTGATTAAAAATTTAGAAGCATTACCAGGACTAAATAAAAATTTAAAAACAGCTGAATTTTGTTCTTAACTCTCTCCTGTCCTGCATGTTTCCTCTTTTTTGGAGCTGCCAAGACAATTGTGATAAGAGCAGATCTGTGGTCCTTTGAGGATTTACGTAAAAGGCAACCACATTTCAGAGGAAAACCCTGACATACGTTTGTGAGTCTTACGTTCTCATTTGGAAGACATAAAGTCCAACTTAAACTATCTAGAACCACATGTTTTGCTTAAGTCATGCTTGGTATTAAGTTAAACATTAACTTTTTTTTTTCTCCATGGCCAAAGTGGAAAAATTCTGGCCAGAATATCACTTCTGAAAGTAGAAAACAGGTCCACTTCCACCTCTACCACACCTTTCCAATGTCACGCCAATCATGATACGCTCCAGTCTATAAAACCTTTAGCAGAAGATTTTATTCAATGACTAACAGGTTATGTTAATTAATTCAGAGAAATGAGATTGTATATTTTTAAAAATACACTCATTTTTGTGGCCCTGAACTAATAGTAATGTTACTTTTTGTCCTCTCAGTTCAGAAAGCTGCATTAGAAGTGACTGCTCTGAGAAATCCGGAGAGGCTCTGCTGGGTGGATGTGGGTAGTGGAAACCATAATCCAGGAGAAACGTTACTGTTCTTGGTTACAAACCTCGCCTATGCGGTTGTTAACGGCTGGTGATCTCCCTTCCCCGGGACTGCCTCCCTCCCCACCTTTCTATTACTTCGTTTTTGACTACGGTGACTTCCATGCCAGAACTACTGTTCTTTTTTTCACGACAGGGCTTTCTGTTCACCGCCAACTGCAAATATTTGCTCTTCATGTTGTTTTTGTTGATAAATTCTTAGTTTTGGTTTTAGTTTCACTATGGTCTGAGAGAGTTTCAGTGCTAAGAAATAATGACATTGTTCCAGGTCAGAGTAAAAGCCAAAGAGAGCAGAGCACCATCTCCTATGCCTCAGACTCTGTTCTCACTCCTGGAAATAACAGGCAAGTACATAACAAGTACAAACGCCTCTGCTTCTCTTACTCAGAAATTCTACATATCTTAGTTTCATAGTTTCAGCCAAACCATGCAACCAGCTATTTATTTTCATGCAAGTAAATAACTTGCAATAAGGTCAAATTCCTGGAACTGAAAGATCAAAGATAAACTTTATTCTCCAGCAAATATGAAAATCCAAATATTTCAGAGATTCCTGGCCAAAAAATAAATAAATAAATAATCACAATAAGCCTTTGTACCCATTTTAAGGAACACTTCATGCCTATGAATTATTAAAATCTGAAAGTCAACTTATTTAATTGCTTAACGTTTAAGCCTTTTTACAAACTATTATTATCATAACAAGAAAAGCATTTAAGGACCTCTTCACTGAAGTTAGCCAAATATTAGAGGTAAATACCTTTTTAGGCTGGAGCTGTGATACTAAGTGAGCGTATGCTTAAAAAAAATGCTCCGTGACTTAGTGAGAAACGAACTACACATAAATAAATAGGCGAAAGAATTTGACAGACTGAACGTGAGTGAATCTCTGCAATATTGCTGAAAGTCACTCTATAATAATACATATGTCCACCTTTGGACAAAATTCCAAATTAAAGAGACAGCGACATTGCTCATTCCCAAATGTCAGCTCAGAGTTAAAGACAACTGAGAAAAAACAAACATGTGGCATTGCATAACATGAAGAGGAAGCAACAGCATGCCACTTGATCAGAGGTAGTCAGGTGGTTTGATCACATTGGCTTTATTCTGTCAACTTCCTTCCAGGAAGTTTAGAGGTTTGACCAATGAGGTCTACTGTTGATTCTTATGCCACCATCCTCCCTTCCTCCTCCTTTGTGGCCTAAAACTTACCCACACCCCAGGTTCTTTGACGTCCTCACTGTTACAGCCATAGTAGTCTGGGGTTTTATCCAATTCCTGCATGTTTCCTTGTGCTCTTATGCTCTTATCCGCATGGCAAGAAGAGCAGAGGGCTGCATTCCCCATCTCAGCTCTACAGTTACTGCTGTCAGTGGGCCCGTCCTTGCCCTCTGCACTCTGTCCAGGGCTCCCAGGGGTACACTAATGTGGGCAATTCATCAAGATGATCCTTGGCTCCTCTGCTCAGTTCCCTTACACGCCCCTCACCAGTTCTCCCCATCTGCTGGCTGGCTTGCTGGTGTCAGAGAGAACTCAAAACCCCCGGCAACTGCAGGCTGCATTCAGTGACCATTTCCAGTGCAGGCGCTGCCAGTCTATTTTTACACCTACCAGGCCAGCTATGCATGTCAATGGAGTGAGGGGGGTGAGCCAGACAGAGAGCAGGGGAGGGGGCGGTGTTGTTTTGTTTTTCACCATGCAAGCAGCCTGCCTCACACATGAACTTAAGTTCCTGCTGGGTAAAATGTCTCTATATATGAGAATTTTTGCATTGCTCAATGAATGCTTTTGAATCTTTTTATTTCCCTCTTCTCTGTCTCTTATTCACGCAATACTAAATATTTCAACGAATCTGCTTTATCAGCAGAACAGATAAAAATTATTTTTGTAATTGCTTCAACCAAGTGGAAACTACTTGGCTTATGTACACTATCTTTCTCATTATTGTCACAGAAAACAATTAGCCATCCTTTTAGCATTCTTTTAACATGTAATATTCATTGGAAACATATCCATCAAATGGCTCACCTGACACCGGTATAGAAACTTTGGTTTTTATAATTGTGTAGTTTGTCATTATTCATGATTGTGCCACACCAGAGCAAACATGTTGATTCATTTATAATTCGTTTTAATTTTTAGTATTTTGAAAATGTTTTCCCCAGCTTTACAAACAATAATCAAGATGGCTTTCAACACCATCCAATCTTTGAAATCATATTACAGATTTTTGAAAGAAATTGTTTCCCACCGAGATGAGCATAGCAAATATACACTAGATATGCTGTATGAAGCTAATTATGATCAAAATCAAAGCTTTGTGATGGACTAATATGGATTAAGCTTTATTCCTCCATTAGGGTTTCCTCTAAAACTACATATGTATATTTAAAACTATATATTTATATATAAAATTTTATATATTATATACTTTAGCTAGTATACAGTTTATAAAACCATACAACATATATTAATATAAATATTATTATACATAATTATTTGAATATTAGTCCTATCCTTCCTCATGTGTTATCTGCATGTATATACAGCTTGTTTTGCAAATCATTTTAAACTACTCAATGCAGGGTCCAGACTTAGATTTTGTATTATGCATCCACATGCTATAAATTAAATATTAAATGTCTAAAAAAAGTATTGAATTGGAAGCAATTATTTGGGGAAAACAGGATGTGGAAGATATTTAGAAACTAACCATATTACATTTGATAGACTAGAATTTTCCTTTCCAATGTGTCATTTTCTTTTAAAAGCTAAAAACCATTTGCCATTAAAAAAAAAAAAATTTAAAATAACATTCCTGAAATACCTTTCTCAGATTTGAGTTCACAAATCCCTAAACACTCAAATCTGAGAAGGACATTTTTGTATTGTTGCTTTCCACAGGGCCCCACGCTGCTTTTTTGTCAATCTGGTTTTGAATAACTCTTCATTCCAGAGTTTATGAGCCTTAAGTATCTTGCTTATTATAAAGTTCCTATCCTTACAATCCAGTTTCTGAGGCATCGCCAGTATTCAGTGAAATTACTTTAACTTCCCAGCTATAGGTGAAGGCATCTCTTAAAATCATGTTTTAAAAATTACTGACTGAACCAACAATATTATGACAACAATAGAAGGGGGCACATTTCGCCATTCATGTTAAAGGAGCATAATCTAAACCTTTTAAATGTTAAAGTTTTAAGTGAAAGTATTCACAAAGATGATGCTTCAAAATCAGTAACAAGGTTAGACTGTTGGCCGGGATACAGCAAGCAAAGCCTTTCATGTTGCCTGAATAATTTTATATAGACTAATGATTCATCATAATATGGTAGTTTCTCATCAAATTTTCCACATATTTGAACCATGTACTGTAGAAATTAAGTAGGCTATAATGTTTAATGCTGTATTTATAAATTATTTTACAAAGATGTGGTTTTTAACTTTTTTGTCTCCTTCCATAAGGTTCTTAGAACCTGGAGAAGGTCTGCGGTAGACAAAGTCTTATAATAGGTGCTTCTTCTTGAATATATATGAACTATTTTATTCAGAATATAAACCCACAACAAAGAATGCCAACCAAGATTTTTCCAGCTATTGAAAGAGATGCACTCCCCCACACCCACTTTTGGAATTAGTGTACTATTTTAAAACATTCAATAGAATCTTCAAAATAGAATTATGTCCACTTAAAACACTGGTTGTAAATCCTAAAAATTACCTCTAGTCTCCTCACTTCATTGTGGAGCTGAGGTCTGAAACTCGTGCTTACACATGGTAAAGGAATATTTAACCACAGCAGATTTGGGAGATGCCCCTAGTGCTAGATGAATAATTTTGCTGTGCTTTAACAGCTCGAATTGTTTCCTGGCATCTTTCTGTCTCATTAATACATTACCCATTCCACCACCACGCCTTTAATTTTACTTCTTCCTCCAAGCATGCCTTCCCCCTCTCCACCAGTCCATGTTCACTGTCTCCTTCAAAGCTCATCTTAAAGCTTTCCTTTCTTCTGCAAGGTTTCATTACACCTTTGTTGTTAGTCCCTTAATTTGTGTTAATATCTTTTTGAATAAGGTTGCGACTACTATCAGCTCTCGCTCTTTACAAGATATGCCTGTTTTCTCTGACCGATGTCCTCACATACCTAAATATGCACCCTAGTATTAAATGTTTGTGAGGTAAATGAATAAAAGGCAGCCACAGATAGGGGCGCAATTCATAATATCAATATTTAACTGGACTACACTGACCTAAACTTCTTCTTTTTTTTTTTTTTTTTTTTTCAGATTAACAGGAACAGATTTAATAATTTTAAACATATTTAAGTATGACAAATATTTAATTTCTTTTCCAGAATTTCAATAAACCTCACTTTTGGCCTTTAAAAAAAAAAGGTTAACACCATTTGGGGTAAATCTTCCTAGAAAACAAGTTACAGTGCTTTGTTAAGAAGGAAAAAACCACAGAGACTATGAACGAACCAAGTAACATGCTGACAACTATTGGAAGACACTTTCCCTAAATGACTAGTTATTTGTTTTCTTCTACCCCTCTTTCTTTTTCTACATCTCAGGGGAAATCATCTCATGCTTTCTCCAATAAAGAAACTTTCTGCTTGATGAATATAATATCCATACTCCTATGATTAACACTGCCCCAAATATGCCATGGAGTAATCCCTGAACCCCACTGCTAAAACTTAGTGACCAAACAGGGACGGGCCAAGGAAAGACAAATACAAACACCTGGGCTACTGTGATGGCTGAAATTTCCTATTTTCTGGCTGAACAGATTTAAATTATCAACCTGGAACCCGGAAAACATCGTAGTTGTGAAAACAGAATTTCCAATGAGCAGCTTCCTATGTGCGATCACTTCAAACTTTGCCGATGATTGGATACTTTCTAACAAAAAATAAAAGCGTAAGGAGTCTGCAGAAGAGGACCTTACTTCAGAAGTTAAAACATCTCTAGTTCTATCTTCCAGTGGTTAACTCAGAGTGACTGCCAGACAGGTTTGGCACAGAAGCTTGGGTGATGTGACAACCTATATACATAACATTTTGTCAAACTGAAGGAAAGCTTAGCAAATACAATGCAGCAGCATCCTTTAATAATCTGCCAGTAGACAGTCGGGATCTCTGTGGACATCTGACAAGGAATATGCTTTCTGCCAGGGCAGAACAATGTCACCACTGTTTTTCAAAAATGCTTCAAAGTCATTAGGGCAAATTACTCAGAAAGCAAATATTTGCATGTTTGACCACACTTAGAGCAGGATACTCGAATTTAATACATGACTTAGAAAGTGAAATTCAAAGCCTCCATGACGTGACATATTTGCAATATCTTCTTAAATTCTCAGGCACTTTTACTGTTATTATTTCATCTGTATTGCTGTGTTTCAAATCCATCATAAGAGAAAAGCGATTAAGGACTGAGAACAAAGGCTAGCTTCTCAGCTTTAATCTTCTGAAAGTTACTGCTGAAGTCCCTATGACAGCAAATCTAAAAATCATTCGCTGCAGTTTTAAGTTTCACCTTTTAAATAAGAAGTCATGATTACAGAACCATCAGGAAACTAACACCTTGGAGAAGAAATAACTGTCTCAGTTCCACAATTTAACCTAAAGGGTTAGATCACAATTCCTGAAGTGAAGTTTTGAAAAGATCTCTTAGCTAGGACTTACTAATCCCAGGTTTTGATTCCACTATGAATTTGTCTGTGTGGACTTTTATAACCTTTATCAAATCTGAGCTTCTGTTTTCTTGTTTTCGAAAAAAGAAAATCAGATTCGACGGTTGTTGGATCCCTTTCAGCTCTGAAGTTTTTCACTTCTGTGACACAGAATGTGTAACATTTGAACACACACCTAACGCAAGGCCACAGTTGAAGGTGGTCACCTATTGAGTCCATTTGCATGGGGAAGAAAAGGATAGCAATCACATGGTTTATCATTCTCTGGGCTGGCTTTGCTCAGTAGCGTTTCCCTGGCAGACTCACAAGGAGGATGAAAATACCTCTGTGGCATATGACAGACTCTTTGTTGATATCCAGGAGCTCTTTTTCAAGGTGAGGACGATTTCACTCTGATTCCACCTTTACTGAGCGTTAGCCTCACTTAAACCCTGCCACATCTTTTACGTGTCACAACTGTAAACTAACTGTCGCCTGGAAACATTCTTACTCTCCCAAACTGGCTTTGCAGGACAGCTTTATAGGATTTTGTAAGACAAGTCTTTGCAAATCAACTGTGTAAGCTCGTTTTATTTTCCTTCAAATGTTTTGATTGATTTATGCTTTTTTTTTTTTTTTTTTTTGAGATGGAGTTTCGCTCTTGTTGCCCAGGCTGGAGTGCAATGGCATGATCTCGGCTCATTGCAACCTCTGCCTTCTGGGTTCAAGTGATTCTCCTGCCTCACCTTCCCAAGTAGCAGGGACTACAGGCGTGCACCAGCACGCCTGGCTAATTTTGTGTTTTTAGTAGAGACGGGGTTTCACCATGTTGGTCAGGCTGGTCTCAAACTCCTGACCTCAAGTGATCCACCTGCCTCAGCCTCCAAAAGTGCTGGGGTTGCAGATGTGAG